TATTTTCCATGAATGAGAAAAAAGATACCTTTGTAGTTAAGGCAGAAGACCAGGAGGATCTGGGCCTTATACATTTCTAATGTGCCACAGATTTTCCTGTATGATTTTGGGTAAGCCATTTAGCACCTCTGTGTCTCCTTTTCCTCCTCTGTTAAATGAGGGATATCACTATTGCCTTACAGTAAGTCAGACCTGTCTGGTGGCTAATCTTAAATGTGTTAAAGCACTTGGAGTTGCCAGAAGATGCTAAAGGAAAACACTGTAATGATATGTGTACTCAGATACTACAGTGATATATGGAGTACAGGCAGTCCCCGAGTTACATGGATCCGACTTACATCGGATCCCTACTTACAAACGGGGTGAGGCAACCCTGCACTAGCTGCTTCCCCCCAGCAGACCAGGGAGACGCGAAGCGGCTTTTCTCAGCAGACACCTCAGCTTGAGAATAAAGGACTGAGGGAAGTGAGGTGTGGGAGAATAAAACTGAGCTCTGGAGAAATGTTTGGCTAGAGTTTCCCCTACAATATGTACCAGTTCCGACTTACATACAAATTCAATTTAAGAACAAACCTACAGTCCCTATCTTGTACGTAACCCGGGGACTGCCTGTATACACGTGTCTAAATTAGGAATGTTTGTGTTACAGGACATAGATACTTCTGTTGTTATGCTGCTTTGTTTGGCTTTGATGGAGGCACTAGTGAGAATGGCAGGCTTCTTTTGACTGCAGCATGTACAATGTCAGTGACATTCCAGCATCACTGGTCTGAATAATTTCTGCAGTGCATATTCTCCAGCCTTTCATGTCTTAACTGTTGTAGCAGGCAAAAAAGGATTTGAATGTATCTTAGATGCTTCCTGAGGCTGCTGCTACTGTGGATGTTCTGGGTGTAAGTCAATATATTCAATCTGAATCTGCTTCTGACAGAACTTTCGCTGACACTGGATCCTCACTTTGAATCTGAGGGCTGCATCTTTATACAGTAGATTTCCAATAATCCGGAACCTATGGGACCTAGGTGGTGCTGGATTATCAGATATGCCGGACTATCAGGAGGTACTATAAGATGGTTATATATATACTGTATACATTATATACTGTATATAAAGTGTTCTTAACCCTTTTTATTGTACATACTGTATACAGTATTCTGTAATGTTTTAGTTTTTTTAAGCCTTTTTTACCCTTTTTGCTCAGTTCAGCTGCTGCTGCTGTTACCTTGTGACTCATTTTTTGCCGAAGCTCACTCACTAGGCTCTTGCCATTTTGATGCTGGACTATCAGGAGTGCCGGACTATTGGATGCCGGACTATTGGAGTTTTACTGTACTAACTACTGTTCTGAGGAATGTCAGCATTACTTTGTGTTCTAAAACATGGGATTATCATATGGGAGAAGAGGAGGAGGGAGAAACATAGGCAGAAGTATAGTGACACTAGCAAGACCCTAGCAGTGATGAGACCTTCATTCAGGACTAACAGCATTGGAATTCTTTTCAGAAGAGGGGCTAGAACTGATTGAAAAATAGAAGCAAAATAGTTAAAATTCCACTCCTCCACTGCCCCCCAAATTTCCAAGTTTGAAACATTGCAACCAACTGTAGGGAGTGAGGGTATGTCTACACTACAAAGTTAGTTCGAACTAACGGACGTTAGTCCGAACTAACTTTAATAGGCGCTACACTAGTGCTCCGCTAGTTCGAATTTAATTCGAACTAGCGGAGCGCTTAGTTCGAACTAGGAAAACCTCATTTTACGAGGATTAAGCCTAGTTCGAACTAGCTAGTTCGAATTAAGGGGTGTGTAGACCCTTAATTCGAACTAGTGGGAGGCTAGCCCTTCCCAGGTTCCCCTGGTGGCCACTCTTGCCAACACCAGGGAAACTCTATGCCCCCCTCCCAGCCCCGGACCCCTTAAATGGGCACGGGCTGGCTATGGTGCCCGTGCCAGGTGCAAGCCTGCCAGCACCCAGCCAGCAGACCCTGCATCTGGCACAGCTCGAGCC